GGAGAAAACCCACTAGATTGGACAGGCGAACCTACTCCTTGTCACGTACAAGGGCAGAATCGAACCACGCCACTTGACTCAATGACAGATCTTATGATCTAATGCACACGCGTTAAATCATTCGGCCATCCAACACCCTCAACAAATCTTGTAACAGTAGAAGCATTGTCTCTTTAAAATCCTGTAAGCGTATAACGGTATTATGATTGTATTCAGACGCTTCCAGCTCCACGCGGTCTCTAATTATAACTAACACCTGCTTGTCATCAAACATTTCTTCCTTAATATGTCTGCGACACACTTAAACAGCCATTAGAGCTCGGCAGGGCCATGGTCGGTTGATAAAAATATTGAATTTGAAATGAGATTTAGCGTCCTGGTAGCTTTTTAAATATTGATATACATAGGTCTGTAACTACTGGTGTATGTGTGTGTGTGTGTGTGTGGTGGTGGTGGTGGGGGGGGGGTGAATGGCCGAATGGTTAGCGCGTGCGCGTTGTATCATAGGGTCTGTCATTAATCCAACAGACGTGGTTTCGATTCTCCGGTTGTACGTGACTAGGAGTAGGGTTGCTTGTCCAACATCGTGGGTTTTCTCCGGGTTCCCCGGTTTCCTCCCAAAGTTCACATCAACTTGCTAAGCTGTCTGGGCTTTAAGCAAGCAATGGTAACCAAGCAAAACATCTAATCTAATCTTCATCGTATTGACAAGCTTGAAATATTATGTTAAAAACTGTTACCCATATCGCGTGAACAGCGTTTTTGGAAAAGGGGGTATGCTCATAACTGACCGTACCAGAATACGGAATATTGATATGGTTCGTCTTCTCGAGGCCACAGTGCTTCACACCAAATTTGAAACATATCCATCAAAAATACGGTAGCCTATATCGCGTTCGCAGGTCATTTGTTGAACCGGGTAAAGACTATATACGTGTGAGCGTCTATAAATATGACGAAGCAGTATTTACATTTAAAAACAATATCTTTTTATATTGTTATTGGTATTCAATCTCTGTAAATGGCTTCACCATGAACATCATGTATATTAAACTATAGTTTTCTAAATGGCATATTGTCTGCGATATCACCGTCGGTGAAAGGGGACGTTAAACACTAATAAAAGAAGAAGAACTAAATGGCATTGTGCTTGATAACGATAAGAGGATACTTGTCGAAACGTCATGCTTTTAGCATAAAACCAATGAGTGATCTCCCATAAAAAATGTGTTCTGTTTAAATGTGTTCTTCAAACGGCAAATGCCACTTAAAGCGAGAATTTCATATTTTCTAAGAAAGTCAAAACATAATTATTTCTATGTCTTTTGCTCAATAGGTTATCAACTCACTATTATACGATCATAGGCATTATTTCCCACACTTAAAAATCATTGACACAGGAAATAATAACACAATTACCTCCCTTGTTTTCCTATTCCCCCCATGGAATAGCTATCTTCAAACGTTTAAATTTGAAGTTGAAAATGATATTTTTGCCAATTTCTCAACTGGCAATAGTGAATTATAGGATTAATAGGATTATTCTTTAACAAGGTAGGACTGTTTATAAATACCATCTATTTTAAGGCTTTATTTTAATAAATTTTAAAAATATAACTTAAAAATTTGAAATTGTAACTTTAAAGATTAAAATCAATATACTGAGTTAATGGTGGCCAATAGGAGCATACTACTAATTACCTTGAAGGAGACCTAACATAATTAAACATGCATAATTATCATTGCACACATAGGTCCTTCCACTTCTTACTTCGAGAATAAATCTCTATCCTGAATAGCCGCCATATCCCAAAATAAGTATATTGTTTTGTAATGCGGTTCTACTCCGTTTCACATTTGGCATACACACACAGACTAAATTCTATTCCATTAAATGGAAGCAGAATAAATACTTCTCAAAATTCTCGAAGTATATGTAGTGTTTTCGACTAAAATCGTCGATTTAGGGCTTAAAATGTCGGTCAACTAGCTTAGTGTCAGTCCTCAAGCGGAGCTACCTGTAGACAGGCAGCCTAAGTTTAGTATGTTGAGAATGCCAGTAATAAACAGTAATTGTATTCCATAGAATTGTGTCGCGCCTACTTCCAGTTCAATTACTTAATGCCATTGAAACAATTTAGTTATGTATGGCAGTTTGTGAACAGGAAAGTGTGGCTTTAACGGGAATTAAATCAGTCTTGTGCTGATGACAAGAGAAAGTAACTGTCTAGCGAATACAATGGTGATCTGTAGACAACAAACAGTTGCAGGAATTCTTTATCCTATAGTCACCATTTAGAACGTAGACTGTAATTCTTGGAACGACATTCAGTAACACGGAAGTATAGATTTCTAGGGCCTGAGAATAAAAAGGTTCATTAGTGCAAGCTTACATTTTGCGGCGGTGAAATGAAACGAAAAAAGCGTTTATTGTCATATCATACTTTTCTGCACTAATCGCACTTACGAAGACTGACCTACGCCACGCATTGTGATATGAGCGACATTTTGCCCGAGTTAAGGAGTCTCTAACGACATATGCCATGCGGTGTGATATGAGGAAATTTTTTAAGCAGACTAATATCAGGTGTTCTAGAAAGAACAATCATACCACAATGTGACACTATGGGGACAGATGTGACACTTTCTTCTAGGCGTTTCTTCGACTTCACGTTGTGGGATCAAATATTTAAATCATCAATTAACTGAATCTGGAACGCCGTTTATGTTGTTACTAAGTTTATATAATAAAATACATACAGCAAACTACAAAGTTATGATACTTTTCCAGTTATTAAAATATCCACGGTCTGAGTTAATATCCTTTCTAACTCAGACCAGAACGGCTTAAACGTGGACAAATTCACATACTCCTTGATAGTATGTTATAAAGCGTCATCTATTAGGGCGGGACAATTACCATTTTGGGTAAGTGTTTCGTATAGGCACCGTTTTACGTCAACACTATTCTAGTTAATTGTACTAATCTGTGCACGAGATAACTGGACTATAGTACCCTACTTCCAGCAATGGATACTGACATAACTGTCGGTGAGTTAGTCTAAGATAGAAGTAGAATAATGCAAGCTACTTCATTACCCTAGTTTTCGTCACACATCATGTAGGTAACGAATTTCTATATTAAACAGAACACCTTTCTTAAAGCTAAAATAAACCTTATAGTATTACAACAAGACATGGTATCAGACTTGTATCAGGTGTTCTAGAAAGAGTTAGCACTACAAGACATGGTATCAGACTAGTATCCGGTGTTCTAGAAAGGGCTATAATACCACAAGACATGGTATCAGACTTGTATCAGGTGTTCAATTACGGAATCATTTGTAGATTCTCATATATAACGGAGCAGCGGTGGCTCAGAGAGTAAGTTCATCGGGATTTTCCGGTGTGATTTCCCCTTGTCAGTGGTGCGGTAACTCAGTGAGGCACAACGATGGTTGTTCGGGTGGGACGACATACTGAGGTCCGGTGTACACATCGGTGTGCACGTAAAATAACTACTGACAGTTGGAATTCGAAATAAGAGTAGGCCGTAGTGTTCCTGGCCGCGCAAAATGTTACTGATCGCACAATGTATGGCGTATGCCCGTCTTCATTAACCCATTCGGGTAGAACACCAGGAAGTTAGACACGATTGGCCGAGAAAGTTCATCTTGAGTTTCCGGTGTGCTTTCCCCTTGTCAGTGGTGCAGGCCGGGGGGCCTGACAAGGACAACTGCCTAGTCGTTCGGATGGGACGGAAAACCAAGGTCCCGTGTACACATTGGCGTGTACGTAAAAGATCCCTTGGCAGTAGGAATTCGATATAAGAATAGGCCGTAGAGCCACTGTGCGGGAAAAATTCCCCTCATAACACACTGTATGGCGTATGCCTGCCCTTATTAGCCCTTTCGGTGCAGATCAGTAGGAAGTTAAAACACATTTCATTTCATTTCATTTCTCATATATAACAACCAGTAAATTAGAATCTTCGTTAAATGAACAAATTGAAATCCCTGTCGATCTCTGAATCAATTTACACAGCTTGTCAATTGGTTCAGTGTAGATTTCTGGAATACGGAAGGCAAATAAATGTGTATTTGATCGCACGACTATTTATATAGTGATTAATATCCGTTACATTAATATCAGTGAATATCTGACCGTCATTTCTTTCTATACACCAACGATTTAAACAAACATAACACACTGCTTTTCTTCTATACAAGAAAATATCCTTGATGTTTTTATAATATTATATTTCGGTGTTAGTCAAAAGTGAAACTGAAATTAATAAATCAAAAATCTGCAGCTGAATACATGTATTGCAAAACGAGAGGCAGAGACGAGAGGCAGAGAGTGAGACAGAGAGAATCAGATAGAGAGAGAGAGAGAGAGAGAGAGAGAGAGGTAACGTCCACTCGACATTTTGGGAATGTATTTCATCTCATTAATTCGCTTGTGAGTGCGATGGGGAAATTGGGGTACCCAGAAAACAACCCCACGAGGTTAGACAGGCTACATACCCAAAAGCAACGGATTTATTTGACTTTTATTTATACGTAATCTATATTCGCCCTCCCCACGTGGTTAGACAGCCTACATACCCAAAATCAACGATTTATTTGACTTTTATTTATACGTAATCTATATTCGCCCACCCCACACACATTAGTAGATTTGCCCCATTAATCTCTTATCCTTAAAGGGGAGGGGTGGGGTTAATAGTTAACGCGTGCGCGTCGCATCATAAGGTCTGTCATTGAGTCAAGGAGTAGGGTCGCCTGTCCAACCTCGTTGGTTTTCTCCGGGTCCTCCGGTTTCCTCCCACTGCTAAAGTCCCCCCTCTCACTTTCTCTCTCTGTCTCTGTCTCTCTTAAATTCCTCTATTAGATTTATCGATTGTCTACACACCAGCCATGCTTTCGTATTCTTATTTTTTAAACTTTTTTTATTTTGACATGAAGGAAAGTTCAGCGACTGTCTCTTAGTTGACTTACTTGTTTAGATCGATTCCTGCTTCTTCAAAAAATCCATACTGAGGAAGGTCTTCATTAGGTTTAAGTGTCGCTAGAACCTTAAAGGAATATTTACACAGACCTTACTTACGAAGTAATTTCAGTCAACCTTCTACGAGAATTGGTGTTTCTCTTCCGCCTTTTAGTCATTTACATATATGTAAGACCATACCAATTTTATTTTCTGTTTTTCGGGAACACCTATAAAATGTTCCCTTCCTAATTATGCGGTGAACATTTTCCTCCTTATTTCTTCGGGAAAAAGACTAATTCAAAAACTACAAATACTTGGTTGCGCTGTTCAAAATCATTTAGTTCATAATTTATAAGTTTTGAAATTGTAAACAAGACATCTTTCATGTTAACTGAAAATCAACTTGGTGTGACCTAACGGAAGTCAGTATAACCAGACCTCCAACACTTACTGTATCATTTCCGCTTTTAATGTATGTAACTTGAATCTATATAAACTATAAGTACATTAGGTCTATAGACATGGTCGAGAAAATTCATCTTGATTTTTCAAGGTGGTCTCCCCTTGTCAGTGATGCAGGATGGAGGGCCTGACAAGGACAGCTGTCTAGTCGCCCGGATGTGACAAAAAACCGAGGCCCCGTGTATACATTGGCGTGCACGTAAAATATCCCTTGGCAGTTGGAATTCGACATAAGGGTAGGGCATAGTGCCGCTACCCGGACAATATTCCCCTCACAGCACACTGTATGGCTGTATGTATTAGCCCAGTCGGAGCAGAACAATAGTACGTTAAACCCCATTTCATTTTGTTAAACTCTCTACTTTCTAAATTAAGAAATTTTATTCTATTGTAGTAGTTGATTTGTTTCCTAATCTCCTTAACAGATTCTAGATTATATATCAATTTAAAATTTAGAATTATCTAATGATTTCCTATACTCTCTTCAATGCGTTATAACAGATATCGTAGTCCGTAATCTTTTTAAAATTTGAAATGTACTTTTTAAGTTTAAACCGTCTTCATTAGCCCAGTCAGAGCAGAACAGTAGGAAGTTAAACTTCATTTCATTTCTAAGTTTAAGATAAAAAAAAGTCCTATCATCGCGAATGATTTCCTAGTCTCTTCAATGACTTTCCGTAAACAGTTATCGTGGAGACCATAATAGTTTAAAACGTGAAATCTACTCTCTATCATCGTAAATGGCTTCCTATCGATAAACGTTTGACGGTTAAAAATAATATTATTTTTTGTCTAATTTATTTCGTTTCGTGATTTTTTTTTTTTGCACTTATTGACATATTGTCGATCACGTGATCTTATAATGACTATTTAATTGATCATTAAACATTTGACGGATCAGTTAAAATTGAATTAGAATTTAAAAGAAGTTAATTAATTACCGCGCGTTTCTCGGTTGGTGTTTTTCTTTGGGCAATGCACGTGATCTTACAGACTGCTGAATTTCTTTGTACACATTGGAGTGCACGTAAAAGATCCCTTGATAGTTGAAATTCGATATAAGAGTAGGCCATAGCGCCGTTGTCCGGGCAACATTTCCCTCATTGCACACTGTATGGTATATGCCCGTCTTCAATAGCCCAGTCGGAGCAGAACAGTAGAGTAGGCCATAGGCTAAGCGCCGCTGTCTGGACAAAATTTCTTTCATAGCAGACTGTATGGCGTATACCTGTCTTCATTAGCCCAGTTGGAGCAAACAAGCAGGACGTTAACCCCCATTTCATTTCACTTGTTTATATTGGTGGTATATGGTGTGTTTTTTTTTATCCCACTGCTCAAGACCCATATGCACAAGCGAATTTTTAAAATAGAATTGAAATGACCTAGTTTGTGTCGAGTGGGCGGAAAACCCCATATTTCTCTAGATTTAAGTTTTTCAATAGTCTACTCTTCCATGTTCCGATTAACATATCCATAGTACGAAATGTATTGGAAGATAACAGAATTAAGTCCATTATAGAAGGGAATAAAACATTTTATCCCTAAATTTCACGGAAATTTCCTGTTTAATACTGAATATTCCACAGAAATACATAAAACACGTAATTTGAAGAAATAATTCACACTATTAACACAATTTCGCCAAAAAATCCATCGATTAACAGAAAAAAAGTGTTAAATTACGGAATTCGGCCACATAAAAAATGGATATTTTTTACAGTGTACAGTCCAAAAGATAGGATGAACGTTATAATTACTGCTAACGTCCAAAAGATGGGATGAACGCCATGATTACTACTAAAGTTCAAAAGACAGTGCGAAGTTGATCGTTATAACTAATTATGTACAAGACTGGGCATTTAAACCGTGTGTATGGAAAGCTTGAATATATCGTACGATATATTGACTATACTTGTATTCCATTTATACCTACCGTTTATCATCCAGTTCATCCAAATTATGAAGGAATTTAAATACTTATTCGTTTTTCTTGGTTTAGTTTCTTTTGGACGTCAGTGATGAAAAAAGAAATCATTTTTTATAATAGCTTTTTCGCTGTATTGACGAAAACTTAACAATATTTCGTTTCGTTATTATTGTATGTTTCGCCAGGCGAGAACGTAATTTTAGTTTATTGACCATCGAGCGGATAGTTTTTAGATAGCCCAAAAATCGGCTATAAAATTGTTTCAGTGCATTTAGTAATTAAACTGGGAATACACAGGAAAAAAATTCTATGGAAAACAATTAAGGTTTATTACGGATCAACATTTCGAATGGAATTTTCTAGTCTTTATCAAGCAATGAACGGGGCTTTATTAGTAAACTGAATGTAGTATATGGCAGCCACGATGACTCCGTTATTAAGGCGATGGCTCACTAACCCGACCCCGATTTCACAAAGCATTCGCAGAATAAGAATTTACTAAACCTTCAATAAGTTAAGTTAAGAATTTACTCAACTTTCAATCACTGTTTATGAGAAATATCTTTGATCCAGAAACACAAATATTTGCACATAAGTTTCTTATTGATGTATTTGATATAATAAAACAACAACAGTTTTATAAAGGACTATATTTTAGATAAAATTAGGCAAATAAATTTGAACAAATTCTTAACTTAAAGATACATTATGGGAGATAAGATAACGAGATGGCAGTTCTCGCTGTAATAGTTAAAAACTAGATAGTGTAAAGGTAATTTGGTGAAAATTTCAGTCAAATTGATCCACTATGAGCCGAGAAAGAAGCGTGTGAAATTTTGGCATAGTCTCGGTCATCATTACTAAAATCATTAATATAAACAGCAAGTCTCGATTATCAACATTTTTGATTTAATTATCAACGGCCGTTGCGGGATATAGGAATCTAATCCAGCCAACATCGAAGGCTAGCCTTGACATCGAGAGTTTATTATGGTCTGGATAAGTTAATTAATGTCTAATTGATAATTTAGATAACATTTCAGGCCTAAAGAAAGACTTGTAATAAGCAGATTTTGCTCTTGCATAATACATGTTTAAGTCTGAGGGTGCTTTGTGAACTCAGGGCCAGAACACCCGGAGATTTTCCAGCCTGGGTTTCTCTTGTCAGTGGTGCAGGACGAAGGGTCTGACAAAGAAAGCTTCTGGTCAAAGGGATGGAACGAACAATCGAGGTTCCCATGTACACATTGGCATGCACGTAAAAGAACCCTTGAAATCATTATTGGAATTAAAAATGAGATCATGCAAAATTTCCTTCATAACACACTGCATGGCGCATGGCCATCTTCATTAACCCAGTCGGTGCAGAACAGTAGGAAGTTAAGCATATTTTCATTTCATTTACGGTATATTATAACTATATATGTATAGTGAATCTGTGTGTTGTCGAGACTAGCTAACTAACTTCGGCTTGTCATTGGTGTTTGCTTGAAGCACGACACGTTATCTCAGCTTATTGAACGCTCTACTTTCATATAACTTGCTATGTGCCATAGGCCTACCTTTATTGGACAGAACTAGCTCTCCATAACCAGAGCTAATCAAACAAGTCGAGCTGCGTATTGTTGGTTCTTACAATGCGACTATTTCCTGTGTTTAAACACCAAACAGGGATTTAGATTCTCATGTAATGGTAAGTCTTCATTTTAATGTATAATTCTTCCTTTTTTCAGTGTTTTTTTTTAAAAAAAACAAAAAAAACAAAACAAAACAAACCATTAATTGGAATTATTTTATTGTTAAAGTGCTTTTGTGCTTATGTATGTAGACATTGTCATCATTGAGCCCGAATCCTCAACTCATGGTGGTATGCAAAATGCCAATTATTGTTCATATGAAGACTATTGTTGCGCAGCGTCCTCGTTGCGATTTTCACCCCATTGTGTATGTAATAGAACTCCCTTAAAAACGTTTTAGATGAAACCTTTTTTATCAACGCGGTAATACGTGTATGGAAGCCAGAATAATTTGTCGTCATAAATTAACTTTTCACAATACAAATTGTTGAATGTACATATACATTTTGAAATTCTAACAGTTTAAAGTAGCTAAGTCTCTAACTTAATATCATTAAAAATCTTCGACATTGAACACCCGAATTATTTGTAAATTTAAATAAACATTGGAGTTGTGATCTTAGCGGGAAAAGGTGGGCTTCTGATATCCAATATTTAAGACAAAATAAACATTTTACAATTGGTACACGAATCGTGCACCTTAATGCGTTTCAGCGCCATTTGTCATAAGAGGCTTGAAAAAGAGGCTATGCATATTCCACTAGTCATGTCAAACGGTGACGTCATATTCGTATCTGAAGAGCATGCGCATTAAATACTATCGGTGTAGACTGGAATAACCAGACGCTAGAGATTGGCATTCGATTGAGACTTCTGGCGTATTTCGCCGAACATAACTGATTAAAAATTACAGTAAAAACAGAAACGATTGAATGTAAATCAGTTTATATACATTCATATTACATTATTATATGCGTTGCGACCAATTTGGGTCAATTTCTAGGTCCCAAATATTAGCGATTTAGCCCCTTTAAGCAAAACTACTTGAAATATTCTTTACTAATTCTCGTTGTTTATCTGTCTATAACATCACTAACTAACAACAACATTATGTCGGTAGCCATCCAATTTAAGAATTTTAGTTTTCAAACGTTGTATTTGAGAAATGTCAACGTTTTTGATTATAGTCAATAAGTTTGTAGACGATTATATTATATAGTATGTTTAACTCCATTCAAAGATTGGATATGGTGGTTCTTGAATGAATAACACTGCTGCTACTTTAACAAGGATTGAATGTGGTGGTTGTCGGGTTTTTTTTATGAATACATAACACGGCTGCTCCTTTAACAAGGATTGAATGTGGTTGTTGTCGTTTTTTTATGAATACATAACACAACTGCTCCTTTAACAAAGATTGGATGTGTTTCTTGTTGTTTTTATGAACGAATAACACTGCTGCTCCTTTAACAAAGATTGGATGTGTTTCTTGTTGTTTTTTATGAATGAATAACACTGCTGCTCCTTTAACAAAGATTGGATGTGGTTGTTGTTGTTTTTATGAATGAATAACATTACTGCTCCTTTAACAAAGATTGGATGTGTTTCTTGTTGTTTTTTTATGAATGAATAACACTACTGCTACTTTAACAAAGATTGCACGTGGTGGTTGTTGTTTTTTTATGAATGAATAACACTATTGCAGACCTACCCTTTCCATCACCTGCAATGGTGTGGTAAAGTTGATAGATTGAACCTGCTTAGTTCGGGAAAATAGATTTCTTGATTGACAACACGATAAGGTTTAAATAAGTTTATATAATCCACAAACGACACATGATACAGTTTAAAACAATTAAATGAAACGCGTAAGCGCGTAGTCGATGTTGGTCGATCTAGATGTATTTCAATTCACCATAACCATTAAACACCATTTCTGTTGGTACTACACATAACTATAACACAAAATACATTTATGCTCGACAAGTTGGCCCTGAAAATACAATAGTTGCCATTATCCATATATTCGTAACCAACAGTTCTATTGGCTACACATCCTACAATTTTTACCTTACAGTATTTGAATTACATATATAATTATATATCAAACACTCATGAAACTCACAGTCCACTTGCAGTCATCTATTACAAGAAAGTTAAATTAAATAGCTTACCCATTTGTGGAAAAGAGCCGGTATTGACCTTCACTAAATCTGTAACATGTGGTACTGATGCATGCGTGTAATTTAGTTTTATCCCAGCTAAACTTCTGAATAACCAACCAGGACAAAGAATTACTAATCACCTGATAAACAATATTTCAGAAAGAGACCACCTTCAGAACTATAAAGAGTCCAACGAGTTATCCTTTCAACTATACCAAAAAATATTAAAAGTAAACCCATATAAGAACTAAGACATTTCAACCACTAAAATAAAACACCATAATCCGGACAATACAATTCCAGACCCATACAACTGAAAATCCATCCCCCAAAACATTTTAATGAATTTACATTATCTCACAACCAAAACTATAAACTCACTTATTAAAAACTTCCAACAATCAAGACACTGATCAGGACATTCTTCACCAACATTAATTGACAGAGTCCCAAAATATGACCCTGTTACATACTTCCCCCCACCGTAAAAATGACGTCCCGTCATTTACTTACCAGTAATTAACGACAACAATGCCGTACTAACCTCTGGAGCCATTTTGCTTAAAGAACCTGAAAGATGTAATGAATGAATATAGTTAGCTTTCTCATACCAATCTGACGGATTATTAATTTGAGCCATAACAAAATCACCACTCTGCATCCATTGAGGTTGGTTACATGTTCGGCGAGGTCTTGTTTCAATAGATACATCTGCCGGTAGAGGACTTGGATTATTATCTACGGCGTCACCTGAAACATTAACTTCAATTGATTTTACCTCAGTATTTTCATTACTTACAGATGCGTCATTAGATGCCCCATGAAATATCTCGGTATTGTGATCCCCCTCAACAATATCCTCGATAATTTCATGATCACCTTCCCCTCCTCCCGTAAGAATAACCTCCGGGTAATTCTCATTTACAGGATCATTGGCTTCCACATAACTAAATTCTTCATCAGAACTTGAATCTAATTCAACACATTTTTCCGCAGCTACTTTAGACTCAATTACTATTTTTCGCTTTCTCGGTTTTGGAGTCGGAAAATACACGGGTTCAACGCTATTGATTGATAACAAATTATTTCGATGTAAAGTACGCGATCGTCCACGCCCAGACTCTGGTCTGACCACAAAAACAGGAATTTCCAAATTAGGTTGATCCTCAACAATGTAAACGCCAGGTTCCCATCGATCAGCTAATTTGTGTTTTCCCTGAAACGCTAAAGTACGTACTAAAACACGATCACCAATATCAAGACGAATACCTTTAACTTTCCGATCATATTTTGTCTTCTGTTTTTCTTTACAATTCTCTGATGATTTAATCGCTAATTCATAAGAACGTTGTAACCGTTCCTTTAACGCTTTTACATACGAATGTAATGACACATTAGACACTTCTCGACTCACTCCAAACGCTAAATCTATTGGAAGACGAGGGTGGCGTCCAAACATTAAATAGAAAGGTGAAAATCCAGTGGTTTCATGTCGTGTGCAATTATATGCATGTACAAGAGGTGCTACTTGTATTTTCCAATCATTTTTCTTCTCCGGCGTAAGTGTACCCAGCATATTCAAAAGTGTCCGATTAAATCTTTCACACTGCCCATTACCCATCGGGTGATAAGCTGTGGTGCGGGATTTATCCATACCTACTAAACTACATAATTCTTTAATAATTTTACTCTCAAAATTAGCTCCTTGATCAGAATGTATCCGACTTGGTAAACCATAATGAACTATAAAATTATTGAAAAATACTTCAGCCGTTGTGCGAGCTGTCATATTCCGTGTAGGTATTGCTTGAGCATATTTTGTGAACAGATCTGTAATAACTAGAATATACTGATAATTACCTTTAGATGGTTCTAGTGTTAGAAAATCCATCGCAACAACTTCAAGGGGGTGAGTAGTTTCTATATTCACCAAAGGGGCTCGCATATTTGTAGGAGATTTTCGTCTCAAACAACGTTCACAATTCTTGATCCAAAGTTCAACATCACTTGCCATACCAGGCCAATAAAATCGTTCCCTCATTAATACCATAGTTCTATCTCTACCCATGTGACCAAGATCATCGTGAAGAGCCTGAAATGCTAATTTCCTATAATGACCTGGAAGTACGAGTTGTTCAATTATCTCCCCTTCATGTTCCACAGATCGATATAAAACTCCCTGTTTCAGCTTTAAGTGTTCTAAACGACGACATAATACTTGGACCTCTTTGTTGAACTCCTTGTCAAATGGCTTTATTCCCGACCTTAAATATTTAAGAATAGACAATATAGAGGCATCTTTTGCTTGTTCCTTTCTCCAATCACGTGGTGTCATACCATTTAGACCTAAATTTACCTCCGGCACTAATTCTGGTGATATACTTAAACATTCGGCATAATTACTCGGCTGAATAGAATTACAAATTACATGTACCTGTTCATGTGAAATATATTCCGATTCTTTATGTAATCTTGACAATAAATCGGCGTCCAAATTATTTTTCCCGGGTCTGTATTTTATTTCAAAATCATACGCAGAAAGAGCGGCGAGCCATCTATGACCTGTTGCATCTAATTTAGCGGAAGTCAAAATATAGGTTAATGGATTATTGTCGGTATACACCACAAACTTGTTCCCATACAAATAATCATGAAACTTTTCTGTAACGGCCCATTTTAACCCTAAAAATTCCAATTTATGAGCAGAATAATTTTGTTCCGATTTATTCACACTTCTGCTCGCGTAAGCCACAACTTTCAATAAATTATCTCGTTTCTGATAAAGAACTGCACCCAGACCAGTTTGACAAGCGTCAATATGTAAAACGAATGGTAACGTATAGTCACAGCTTGTAAGAATTGGAGAACTACACAAATGATCCTTTAATTCACAGAATGCATTTTCCTGCTCAATATCCCACTTCCACTTGACGGAAACATTACTTTTATTT